TGATGGTTTCAAAGAACTTTATTTTTTGGTAATTTTACCAAATATTGCTCACTTCCATTGAAGGAGGGTAACTGTGTAATTATTGGTCTATTAGCAAAATTTTTCATGAAGCACCTCATGGATTTTAACAAAACTCGCAAAAAGTTACTGATTCAAGATGGCCGCCGCAGCAAACAGAAAGAGCTGTAATTCCATTCATTTTGCAGGCTGTGAGATAAAACTTGGTGGGGTAGTAGCTGAGAGTCGTCCCCATCACCTGAGCTCTTTACCTGATCTCCAGTTGGACCGGTTCACCTGAGTTCTGCCCTCTCCTCCCGCAGGTGAACAACAGCAACAAGAAGGAGTGGAACGGAATGATGGGGGAGCTGCTGGGGGGCCTGGCGGACATGATCGTGGCCCCCCTGACCATCAACAATGAGCGCGCTCAGTACATCGAGTTCTCCAAACCTTTTAAATACCAGGGGCTCACCATCCTCGTCAAGAAGGTGAGTGAGAGGCATCGACGCTGATCAGAGCGTTGATCTCTGACGGCGAGCGGTGAGCAGGAAGCTCCGAGTACAGAGTCTGTTTGTGAGAAGATGCCAAGTTCCTGTTCACACGCTGCAGCAGAACCAGCAGACTGATCCGGTTATTTCAGCAGATATCGATCGGGTTCATCTCTGTATTCACCTCAGGCTGCCGGCAGCTTCTTGTGCTCAGATCAAACTCGACAGCACAGAAATAAAGCGTTGAGCTGTGTCTGCAGCCGTGATGGACCCGAACACGAGCCGACAGAGCCCGCAGGATCTGCTCATGCTTTCTGTTTGTGTTTGCAGGAAATCCCTCGCAGCACTCTGGACTCGTTCATGCAGCCGTTCCAGAGCACACTGTGGCTGTTAGTCGGTCTGTCGGTCCATGTGGTGGCAGTGATGCTTTACCTATTAGACCGGTTCAGGTAAACAACACAACTGTACACTGTAGCTACACAACAACAAGCTTTATTCAGAGAAATACAAGATCTCATCAGATTTAAAGTACCTGTGACATCAAATTTTTGCAATAAACCTGAATGCATTTTTTGAAAGATAACAATGATAACATGTTGCAAAACAAATTTTACGCTGCTGAGATGAACAGTTGTTGAGATACTTACATGTGAAGGAACAGGAAGTGATGTAAAAGGGGAATGTCTGAATGTAAACAGTGTTGTTACAACACAGACTGTAGAGAAGAATCTGATGTTTCTTTAGATTATTTTTAGTCGCTATCAGAGGGATGAGGAAGAGTTAAAGTTTAAATAATATTATTTTAATAAATTGAGACCAGCAAGTTTATTTTATTGATGAGAGTTACCCTTTGATGTCACTTCCTGTTTCTTTTTGGCTGAGACAAATTCAAAAGAAAATAAGCCGGTTTTGAGATAAAATGTGTAAAATCATGTGTACTCTACCAATTTTCTTAAGTATAAAGATGCTTTCTTTGATTTTTTTTTTTTGAAGGATAGGCATGTCACAGGAAGTTTAAAGTTGTGTTTATTGATAATGTGATGATAAAACAGTGAGTTTGTGTCTGCAGCCCGTTTGGGAGGTTTAAAGTGAACAGTGAAGAAGAAGAGGAAGACGCCCTCACCTTGTCCTCAGCTATGTGGTTCTCATGGGGAGTTCTGCTGAACTCTGGGATCGGAGAAGGTAAAGACGGCGCCGGCTCTGATGCCCGTGTTGCTGTCGGCGCCGCCGTCTTCTGACGTTTCGTACTGATGTTGATCTGCAGGAGCTCCCAGGAGCTTCTCGGCCAGGATCCTGGGGATGGTGTGGGCCGGCTTCGCTATGATCATCGTAGCATCGTACACCGCCAACCTGGCGGCCTTCCTGGTGCTGGACCGGCCTGAGGAGCGCATCACTGGCATCAATGACCCCAGGGTGAGCACAAAAACACACAGCTACAGGCTAAAACAAGCAAAGCAATAGCTAAAAGCTAAAAGTAGCAAAAGTCTAGCGAACAGCTAAGAGTTGCAAAATGCTAGCTAGAGGCTAAAAGCGACAACCATTGATATATATTACTGGACTGGGCGTCACGTGACCTGGGCGTGCCAAAAAGAAAAAACCCAAGGGGGATTTTTATGCATTGAGCTAATGCTAACGCTATCCATTGAAATCAATGAGCAGAATGTAGCGCGGTGCAAATAAACACTTTATAAATGTACAAATGGTACAAATACTTTGCTATAAACTGCATAGATTGTTACATGTTTACAAGAGATAAAAGTGTTATGTTTCACAGGTAAATATTACACATATTTAACCAAAATCAATTATTTTAATTGTAAAACCTGTATGCTAGCATTAAACAGCTTCAATATTCATGTTTAACCTTATTTAAAATCGATTTTATCTGTTGTCAAATATATTATTTATTGATATTAAACATGTAAATATGGACTTTATTGGATTGTTGAGTAGTTACACTGCATATAAATTTAGAAATTATGATGTAGACTCACTAATGACAGACACTAATGTAATGATTGAGCATCATAAACATAAATAGTCACATTGTCAAACAGGTTGGTTTATTCAGATATTTTCTACATCCAGTATTTGTGTTTTTCAACATTTCCAGAGAAAAGGAGGAAAAAAACATGTTCAGATACAGCCTGCATCATTGTGAACCTGAAGAATAATTCTTTGTGATAAAAATACATTCAATAAACAATTCTCTGTGACCTGAAATAATTAGTTTTTTTAGGTTTTACTGATGTTAAAATTATTGTAGTTTGCAGCAAAAACTTTTATAGTTGTGTATGTACAGTATGTACACACACACACACACACACACACACACACACACACACACACACACA